GTGTCATTTGGATGGGCCTCGGGTGCTCCCACAAGCCCCTGAGGCGGACTCAGAAACCCCTTGGGGTTGGGATTGGGGGGTTGGCCAGGGAGGCTGACAAGGAGACCTCGTCACCAAGGGCTGAAGGCTGGACCACCGTATTCAGAACCATATAACCCTCACAACGGATCTCAGCGGGATCCACGCATGTGGAGGGGGTGGGCTAGGGGGTGTCTTCCTTCATTTAGAGAGAACCTCAGGGATTCCCTGTCACTCCAGGCCTCCACGCCCCGGGGCAGAAGTTCCTGTGCTCCTCAGGAAGCCCGGGGTGCACCACACTTACTGGTGGAGAGGTCGGGTGGAGGCTCCCAGCCTTCCTCCTCCCACCCCCCTGACAGTGCAAAGCTCCCGCTCCTCCCTGTGGGTGAATCCCTTCGCCTCTGCCACATGGGCTGCTGGGAGTTATTCTGAGGGGTCGGGGGCACCGAAGATGAGCCCCGATCCCGTGTGTGGAACCCTGGATTCCCCGGAGCCAGGTGAGATGTGTTTGGTTTGAAGAGGGATGCCCTCCCTACGGGAAGTGAGCCCTGGAGACAGGTCTGCTGGCTGGGAGCCGGAGGGTGTGTCTGTGAGCGAACCGTCTGGACGGAGTTCAACGTTTAAGATACTTACTTCCCTTGGACAATAGAAACAGCAGTGTTGGGGTATGATTTAAAAGCATCCCCTTTTATGGTGCAGTTCCTTTGGTTAACCCCAATGCTTCCGCTGCGTCTCTCAAATAAAAGTACAAGATGCAAAAGAAAGCTGCGGCCTGTCCCAGGCAAACCCCACCCCAGAGCCCGAGGGGAGATACAGCATCAAACATAAACATAAACTGAAAGGGAGGCCTGGGTCAGGCTATCTAGGCCAGGAGCCTGAAAGCTATGCCCACTGCGTAGAGCTGGCCATGTGGGCTAGCCAAGATCACCGCACGGTGGGATGTTGTGTTAGCCAGGGGCCTAACTGTGTTAGACAGAATTGGACATGCAAGAAACTGACCAGCGGGGACACGTTTGTAAGAGAAAATGGGGAAGGAATGTCTTAGTCCACAGTGCAGTTCTAAGAGAAGTTCAGCAAGGCCATCAGGGAGTCCCTGAGCCAATGTCACCACAAAGGAGGCCCCCAGGAGCAGCCAGCCTTAGCATCCCTGACACTCAGTCATTGGCGGGGGTGCCCTTGGGAAACCCAGCATCAGCTATCACAGACCATTTCCTCGCCCAGAAACTGGGGCCTTGGGTCAAATACGCCCAGGTTGAGACGCATCCACAGGGCAGCTACAACAATAAACCCCTTCTCCTCCAAAATGAAGGACCAGGAAGAAGGTGAGAGGAATGGCTTTAACTCCCAACAGGAGAAAATCAGTCCATAAACATCTACTTACAACAAGAAGCCTACATATTTCCCTTGTGGGAAGCCAACACACAAAAGAAACTCCCCTGAACTTTAAAAATTCATTCCTTCATTGTTCACTCAGCCTCGGAGTTCGTCCTCTCATTGTTCTGTTAGCAAACTGGAGGAAGACTGATGTAGTTTAGAGGAGTGTGGATTAGCAGAGACTACAGTGGGAAATGTCACAACTCCAGGAGGCAGCACTGAGTCAGGGAAGTAGGTGTCCCCGAAGTTCCCAGCGGGTGACCAGCATACGGCGCTAGAGAAAGCTGTGTGACCAGACTTCCCATGAGCTAACAGGGGATTTTGACCTATGACTCATCCCGGGGCGGGGTCCGGAGCTGCAGGGGACGCCACCCCACGCCACACTGCCTCACCAGCCAGATTGCACATTTCCTGAAAGCAATCCAGTCAGAAGCCGGCTTCTTGGCAGCAGCCCCCTGGGGGAAAATGACTGCCAAACGCCAAAATGAGGATGAGTGCAATGATTTAATTCTGCGTGGAAAACACAATCCATTAAATGGGACCTGACAAGGCCTTAATCTCATCCGCAGCCGAGGGTGTTGGCTCGGTGTAGCTCTGCTCTGGGCAGCGCATCCTCAGGAAGCTATGTATAGAACCAGGAGCGCCTTTGCCAACGCCCAAATAAGTCCACGCAACGTGGTCATTCTCCAGGGAGTGAGCCTGCTCTTCTCCCAAAGCACCATTACCAAAACCTGCCAACTCCACCTCGTGGGGAGTCATACAGTTCAAGGGAAGTAGCCGAGATGGCCAGGGCCCTGGATGGCTTCAGCGTTCCCACTGCCGTGCAAGGAGGCCAGGCCAGTGGCCAGCCTTGCTCCCATGCACGACGGGGTTCTCTGCACAATCCAGGCACCGAAAGGGGATGTCAAGGTGTGGAGGCCCAATCCTCTCCTAAACGCGGTTCTGAAAACAGGGGGAAGGAATTGGGGGCTGTCCTGCCATTCGCCCACTGAACCCTAGTAACCGTCCCCAAGGCCTGTTTTGCTATGTCACTGTCTCCATCTGTAAAATGGGGAAACTGAGACTCCAAACCATGACTCAGATGATGTAGTTTAGAGGAGTGTTGGCAGACGCACAGCCAAGGTATTCCAAAGCCCATGACCCTCTCCTCAGAGGGATTCCTCGGGCCATCGCGTGCCATGAGAGCCGGTTAGAAATGCAGAGTCCCAGGCTGTGAGCCAGACCCAATGAGTCTGTGCCTGTGTATGATAGGGTCCCCCACAGACTTGAGAGACATGAAGTTTGAGAAGCGCTGAAGGAGCTCCTAGCCAAAAGGGGCAGGTGCATTCAAAACCTAAGTTTACACTAGAAAAGGGATTCAATGTCACAGAACAGGGTCAGTCTCACAGAAAGAAGCATCAAAGTGTGTGTGTGTGTGTGTGTGTGTGTGTGTGTACACAAACTCCACATCACACTATCTTATTTCACCACCAACAAACCCAGAAGCATAAAAGCCACGGTGAACAGGTTAGAGAGGGCATAGCTTTGGAGCCGGTGGTGTGCACTGGGTTCTCATTTCCAGCTCCGCCACCTGCGGGGTGACTTCGAGTGAGCTGCTTGATCTCCATGAGACTCAGTTTCCTGACCTGTACACGCAGGACAACATCACTCCTCTTGCCAGGGCTCAGAGGGATTAAATAAGCAAATGGATGTTCCTGGACATAGCAGATGCCCAGTAAACATCGGCTTCCCTGGCATTCGGGGCCATCTGGGCTGGGTCTCACCTGAGCCAGGGTGCACGCTGGAGGCTACTCACCCTCTAACATTGCCGGTGAAATCTACTGCCTTCCTCGGAAGGAAGGATGGCTCCACGCTAGCACACAGCTGCATTAAGGAGTTAATGAGTGAACAACCAGCGCCAGTGGATTATCAAATGAAGTCCATGGTCACCAGTACCTGTTCTGTGTCCGAGAGCTCCGAGGGAATGCAAAGAGAAGGGCTTCCGGTGATGATGGAAATGGAGTTGGGCTAGCACAGTGGTCGGCAAACTCATTGGTCCACAGAGCCAAACAGCAACAGGACAACGATTGAAATTTCTTGTGAGAGCCAAATTTTTTCAACTTAAACTTCTTCTAACGCCACTTCTTCAAAATAGACTCGCCCAGACCGTGGTATTTTGTGGAAGAGCCACACTCAAGGGGCCTAAGAGTCACATGTGGCTCTCGAGCCGCAGTTTGCCGACCACTGGGTCTAGCAGACAAGTTGTTCTTTTCCTGAGAGTAACTCCGTAGCTCTTTCTGATGAACCTGGTCTGGGATGAGTAGCTGCAGGAAGACTGTACGTGAAGGGGTTGACCCCACCACACGCTCCGAGATGAGAACACACAGACCCAGAGCGGCATTCCCCAATCCCACCCCCTGCACCACGGGGAACCGCAGAGAATCGCAGGTTTATGGACTGTACTTCTCTCTACCTCAATGGGTTTAATTTTGTTTAAAACCTAAACCCATACGATGAATAATAAAAGCGTTTGCCTTGCAATTCTCATCCCGCCCACTGCGTCCAGCACATTCTGTAAAGAAATCCAACCCCTATTCATCACTCCTTTTCAGAGCTCATCTATAATTCAGCCTCCACTAAGAACCTTCGCACAATGAAATGGCTTTTACTGAGCGATTACACACGTCACCTGGACGCAAGAGAGCACATTTTTCAAACGCATTTCATGGACTCCGAGGGTTGTCTGCACTGTTTGGTGGGGAGGAGGGGGGACTTTCTATGAGCTTTCTATGTCCTACCAGCCGTGTGGAGACTATGAAAGCATTGCCTAACGAAAGGAGTAAAATCAGGGAAACCGGGAGGAAGGGCGGGAGGAAGGCAGGCCAGCAAAGTCATTAAATCTTAACTTCTGACACCAGTACTTCTGTGGATTTGAAATGTGGATTTGAAAGGCCCATATGGAAAAAAGAAATCATTTCAGGCGCTTCACCCATCCGCAGACCGGTTCCCATTTAACGTGGTGAGAAGGTGAGGGGCAGTGTCGTGATGAAAGTGGAGCACAAACCAGAAAGAAGACTCGGAGCCTTTGTAGGAGGATGCAAGCCTGAAGGGAAAGCCAGGACAGAGCAAACAGCCACTCGGAAGCCACGAGAGATGCTCCCTTCCTTTCAGAGGCAGCACCTCACACATCTCTCCCAACCAGAAACACCTCCTTCCCTTCCCGCCCGCCCCCCCCCCCCCCGAAGACTCTAAAGGCGCAGGACTGCATTCATTTCCCCTTCCAACTCCTGCTTTTTCTCCGCGCACTTATCTCCATGCGTCATCCTCCTTTGAAGCAAAAGACTCATTAATCCAATTCAAATTGCCAACTTCAGTAAGTCCTTTGCCTCAGCATTTAAATGCCAATACCAATTAAATGCCAACAGCAACTTAACTACTGGTACGCTCTTCACCGCACGCAGGAAACCCAGCCAGAAGGCCGGCTCGCATGCATTCCCACACTCGCCCCTCAATGCTAATTTACTCAGTGGAAACGCGTGAGGTAGTCTGCTGGCCACGCTGACGAGGCATCCAACTGGGGTGGAAGTAACCCCACAAGCAAATGAGAAAGAACCAGCCGGGGTGCAAACCTGAAGGACGTCTTCACCAAGGCTTCCGGGCTGTCCAGCTGAGGCAGCTCGTCGGCGAGGATCTGCTCCGGGGGCCGGGGGTCGTGGACGATCGTTGGCCGCGGCTTCTCCTTGACGTTCCCCGTGAGCCCGTCGATGATGGAGTTCCACAGACAGCTCTGCGACTTGGACCCTGAAGCGTGAGGGGGGACAGAGGGGTGCAGGTGAAGGCCCAACCGATTCCGTACCCTGCCTTGCCCGACGCAGGATTTCAAAAGCAGAGCAGAGCAATGTACATATTAATAGTTCTCACAATCACTACCAGCATCGAGGGCTCTCAAGGATACCGGTCACGCAACTTCTGGAGTAAAAATTTTAATTTTTTCATTTCTCTGCAGACAATAGGCCAACACTCTGGATAGCTGGCCTCATAGCTAGTATAGTGGATATTATATATACTGTCTTATTTCAGGGGTGATCAACTCCTGACAGAGCTGTGGATGTGTATGAATATATTTATCCAAGTCTACAAAAGACTACTATTTTAGAGAACAGAAGGGATGGTCAGATACAAGTCTCCCCTATGAACTCAGCTTGCCCAAGGCCCGGGGTTCAGGACTTCCTTCCATGGAAACACCCCCCCACCCCCGAGGAGGGATCCGCCTCTAAGAACTAGAACTCAACGCAGGCAGGTTTGTCCTCTGGAAGATCTGGACCCAGGAAATGATGCTGAGTGCGTGCGGCCGGCCCACCCTGCAGACACCTCCCACATCAGACAAATGTGGAAGGCAGACAGGAAATGGACGGGCTGCCACAAAACCTGCCAGGCAGTCAAGGTCAACATCAGCCGTGATGCTCCATTGTCATCAGGCCCCTTTGAGCTGATCTGAGGGAAATGTCACTGTACCTCAGCAGGCTCCCTTCCCAAAACACATAACCCCCGTGTATTCAGTGCATTTCTAGCGTCTGTGAGCTTAATGCTTTAACGTCTGCCATACACGCACATCCCAGTCATGCCTTGTCTGGACAACCCAGTATCACGCCTGAGCCACCTCACCTGAGCCTCCCTCATCGCTCACCTGCTCCCTCCCCTCAATTCTTCAGGAAAGCCTACCTTGCAGGGTCATGCTTTTCAAGCACAAACCAGAGTCCGCACCCTGTCACCTCCCTTACTGAGCGTCCACCTTCCGGGCCACTGTCCACCAGCTCCAATCACCCAGGACAGGCACCAGACACTAGGGCAACCCTATACTTCAGAGCCACAGAATCCCTCAACCAGCCCAGTGGTCGGCAAACTCATTGGTCCACAGAGCCAAATACCAACAGTACAACGATTGAAATTTCTTGTGAGAGCCAAATTTTGTAAACTTAAACTTCCTCTAACGCCACTTCTTCAAAATAAACTCGCCCAGGCTGGGGTATTTTGTGGAAGAGCCAGACTCAAGGGGCCAAGAGCCGCATGTGGCTCGAGAGCCACAGTTTGCCGACCACGGGACTAGCCGATGCTAAGCCTGCTCACCCGGGCTTGCCCGATCCTCCCTGCAAAAACCACAGAAAAGACTCTTTGCCCAGAGCTCCCCACCCCCAGCCTCAGACCCCTCCAACTCCTGAAATGCAAGACAGCTTTTTAAAAGCCCTACACATCTATCGTAATGAAATCTAGTGCTCTGAAAGAAGTCTGGTGCTGCTAAGGTCTTACAGTAAACTCCCTGCCCATTTCCCTTCTCTCTTTTACTTATTCATTCAACACGCACATATTAATTCCCTCATATGCCAAGTTCCATTCTGAGCTCCAGAAATAGGAAGATAAATGGGAATGTTTGCCTTGGGAACTAGTCGACTCACAAGCAATCGCAATAAATGGGCAATGCACACCCGGTGCTGTCTGGACCCAGCAGGCCTCCCGCACTCCGCCCAGGGCCCTGGGGAAAGCCACACGGGACCAGGACATCCGAAATGGGCAGGAAGCTGCGCAGACAGGGGAGAGAGAAGAATATCTGATGCCAACGTCACGTGCCAGGCTCAGAGGCCTAAGAAAGCAGCTTGATGATTAGGGCCGGAGCAAAGTGAGAGGGGCAGTGACCAGAGATGGGGCCAAAGGCTGGGCGGGCCAACTGTCCAGTGCCCTGAATAACATGCTGATCACTTCCGAATTGCTTCTGCAGGTGCAAAAGGACTACAGATTTCTAAGCGAGGCTGCGGTGGCATGACCACCTCAGAGTTTCATAAAGCAAAGTGGCAACCTGAGGAGAAGCAAACCCTGAGGAAGGCAGGTATATGGGAGGGGCCCATGGACCCATGTCATCTGCAGACAAGACAATGAAGTCTCACATACATGTGACTGCGTTTTAAGTATTTGCAAATGTAAAAAAAATAAACTACAGATTCATGCAAAAGCACCTACTAGATTTTTTTTTGTACCATTTTCTCAATCAGTGAATCAGAATGGTCATGTGCCCTAAGCTAACTCCCACATGGACAAGTGATAACCCCTTCAAAAGCTGTAGCAAGAGCTACAGAGATACTCTGGCACGTTTAAAAGAAGATTGTGGTCGAAGCTATAAATAAGATCCGCTCAACATTCATTCCCAACTCCCGTTTCCCTTGTCTTCCTCCTCTAAAGAGGCCAGAAAACAACGTACTCAATTTTCCGGCCTCCCTTACTGCTATGGCTAACCACAAGTTTAATCTTGGCCAAGGAAATGTACGTGAAAATTCCTGGGGCTAGTGTCTCTTGCTGAAGAAAAGAAAGAGGAAGGGAAGGGAAGGGAAGGGAAGGGAGGGGAGGGGAGGGGAGGGGAGGGGAGGGGAGGGGAGGGGAGGGGAGGGGAGGGGAGGGGAGGGGAGGGGAGGGGAGGGGAGGGGAGGGGAGGGGAGGGGAGGGGAGGGGAGGGGAGGGGAGGGGAGGGGAGGGGAGGGGAGGGGAGGGGAGGGGAGGGGAGGGGAGGGGAGGGAAGGGAAGGGAAGGGGAGGGAAGGGAAGGGAAGGGAAGGGAAGGGAAGGGAAGGGAAGGGAAGGGAAGGGAAGGGAAGGGAAGGGAAGGGAAGGGAAGGGAAGGGAAGGGAAGGGAAGGGAAGGGAAGGGAAGGGAACATTTTAGTCCCTTTAAAATTCGTTTTCCTATTTTTCCCCCTTTGCCCTCCTTTCTTCTTCCTACTGGAAGGAAGACTCGGTGTTAGAGCTCCAGCCGCCATCTTGTGACCGTGAGGTGGCAAGCATTACAGCAAAAGCCTACATCTTGCATGTGGAAAGTGAAAAGGTGCTGGCCCCTGGCAGCACAGTTGAACAGGTCCCCTGATTTCCAGGTTTCTTGATTTCAGACATGTATTTACTTATTACACCCTTAGGTCTTTGCTTGTAGCCAGATGCATTCCAAAATGGTACACGCATGCTCATCACATCACATAAAGGTGTTCCCCGTATACGAATGGTACCATCTATACAGCACTAGGAGTTAATATTTTAATAAATCTTCCAATTATCGTGTGAGAGGCATAAACACATTGCCTACTTCTCTTATGTAAAAATGATTAATTCCTTAAATGTGAACTGTTAAAACGCACCACGATTTTTTATAAGCTATTTTGGCATTTCTTCGCTTTTTTTAATATTCTGGGAAACTCAACAAATGGAAATAGCCTATGTTTCTCTTGACCCTTGAGAGTCCAAAGAACAATTACTCTCATGGGACCGTCCGTGGTTTTTTTGTTTTATTTCATTTTGTTTTTAAACATTAAGCAGGGGGGGGTGGGGGGGCCTCTCTCTGCTCAAGAACATGTTGGGAACCAGCAATGTTATTCATGCTCCAGCTGGGAGCTGTGCGTGAGCCCAGCACCGGGGGATCAGCGGGACGGCCAGTCAGCGTGAGAAAGCGCGGGCCTGGCAGAGTCTGTGATGGAGAAGACACAGAGGCAGGGTGGCTTGAGGGCAGCGGTTCTCAGCCTTCCTGATGCCGCAGCCCTTTACTACAGCTCCTCATGTTGTGGCGACCCCCAACCATAAAATCATTTTTTAAAATATTTTTTTATCAAATTATTATCTGTGTACATATTTTGACATAAAGTCATTTTTGTTGCTACTTCATAACTGTCGCAACCCACAGGTTGAGAGCCGCTGCTGTAGAGCCTAAGACCATCGGAAAACACAGATATTTACATTATGATTCATTAACAGTAGCAACATTACAGTTAGGAGGTAGCAACGAAAATAACTTTATGGCTGGGGGTCACCACAGCATGAGGAGCTGTATTAACGGGTGGCGGCAGTAGGAAGGCTGAGAACCACTGCTCTAGAAGCTTTCCGAACCAGAACTCCGGCACATCACGCTGTGCTTTATTTGTGAGCAAATAACATACACACAGTGTAGATCAAGCAGAATGTTCTTTTTTTTTTTTTTTAATCCTCACCAGATGGTATTTTTGCCATTGATTTCGAGAGAGAGGAAGGGAGGGGAGAGAGAGAGACGGAGAGGGAGAGAGAACAACATCAATGAGAGAGACACATTGATTAGGTTGCCTCCCACAAAGGCCCTGACTGGGGTTGGGGAACCTGCAACTGAGGTACCTGCAATCGAACCCGCAAACCTGTGACCCTTCAGTCCGAGGGCTGACACTCTAACCACTGAGCAAACCAGCTCGGACACGTTCTGCATCTTTTTACAAAGCATACATCCTTTTTCATCAGTAATAAGATACACCTTATTTGCTACTAGGGAGAACCTTGACTTTGCAGGGTCCGCTTGCATGGAAGCAGTTTGCAGCTTCCTTTACTGGTAAAAAAAATAAAAAGTTCAGGCTGCAGGAGGAGGTGGATAATACAAGGTGAGCTTGACGGGTTGAGGAAAGACAAGAGAGTGAGAAAAGGAGATGAGAAAAACCTGATTCCACAGTAACTACCGATTCGCCCTGACGTGTGCCTGACGGGGGAGCCTGACAAGCTGCTGGCAGGAGGAGCCCAAGGCGAGGCAGAATCCCATTTAAAGCTGACAGGGGCTCCCGCAATGAGGGCCCGGTTAAAAAAATGAAAGACACGGAGATTACGCCGGCCGAAGGCTGAGAAGGCGGAGCCCTGCAAAGCCGGGAGGAAAGAAGAGACTTGATTCTCCTAAAGATTAAAGAATAAATTCTTGGAGCCTTTCAATGGTATCTGTAACAAAGGGTGTGTAGGGTGTCCCCTACTTTTAGGAGGATGAGGCCCTAGAATGCCCAGCAGGGGAGAAACTGGGCCAGCACACAGGTCAGGAGGGAACCTAATGGAGCCCAGAGGGAGAGTTCTATGCCCACTGCAATAACACAGTAATGACGGTAAGAAAACGAAGTCTCAACAATGTTTTTAATATCTTTAAATCAGCCGAAACCGGTTTGGCTCAGTGGTAGAGTGTCGGTCTGCGGACTGAAAAGTCCCAGGTTCGATTCCGGTCAAGGGCATGTACGTTGGTTGCGGGCACATCCCCGGTGGGGGGTGTGGAAGAGGCAGCTGGTCGATGTTTCTCTCTCATCGATGTTTCTAGCTCTCTATCTCTCTCCCTTTCTCTCTGTAAAGAAATCAATAAAATATATTAAATTATATATATATATCTTTAAATCAGTCACATAGCCCTGTTCCATTCTTTCTAATACTCTAATGCTTGGTTTTAGAAACTTTTCAGAAACTCTGTCTCCTACAATTTAAAAAAGATTCGACCATTAACTCCATTTCAGAAAGACACACCGAGGTTGCGGGGAGGGAGTAGATCTTCCTATGGAATGTGAGAATACAGTTGCTTTGTGGGGACATATTTTAAATTCTCCGCTACGGTGGGGTGTGGGGTTTTCTGAGTTATCCTATTAGGGCGCCCTGCTGCTTTTTTACACAACGGGGTCCCGTTAGTCCACCTCTCGCCCTGTAAACTCCACTAACGTGGGACAGGGCCGGGCCTCCTCCCTCCACATCTTGGCTGTTCTTCCTCGCTTGCGTCTCGAAGGAAAGTTTAGTTAAAAATCACTTCGTCAGCTTCTAAAGTGAAATCTCCTTTTGGGGTTTATATTGAGATTATATTTAACAAAAGGATGATTAATCGTTGACTTTTTTTTACGGAAAGAATTTTCCACCTCCGCAATATATCATGCTCTCATCCGGGTACATGACTGGCCTTTCCTGTATGAAACATCTGTTGTATGTATTAACTTGGGTTCGTACACCATCTCCTCGCACTTAGCCTTCTCACTTTGGTTCTGAGAACAACCCCTCCCCTGTAGCTCCTTCCACGTGTGCCAGGAGGCTTTCGGCTGTGTTGCCCCATGGTCCTGTCCTCGGGGGTGAAGTCAAGGAGGAGGTACACGACCCCAGCTTGGATAATCACTGTTCTTCGTGCCAAAACCAAAAGGAAGGGCCCTTTCTATCCTATCAGACTGCTGGGCTAGGACCCACATCCCGCACACGAAGGAGCCTGAGAAAATGAAGCTAGCACCCCAAGGAAAGCAGGGGGGAAATCAAGGAGTCCTGGGGGGGGACTCTCCTCTACAGCTCTGCAGTGGGATCATCGGTTTACAACGCTAGCTGGGATTTTACCTCCCAAAGTAAAAGAGGCCAAATCTGCCTCCATTTCCTTACTGCTTTTGACACCATTATTTTCTTCTCAAACACACATGTCTCAGGAGAGAAGTTATTCTCCTCTCGTTTAGGGAAGCAATCAAAACTCCAGGATGGACTTACCCTGCTCTCAAGCTTCGGGCCCAATGCCCTACCCCCACCCCCACCCCCACCCCGCCATGGTCTCTCCCAGTGCCCTGGGCTCTCCTTGCAAAAGCTCAGTCCATTGGCCTGAGTGAGGTTCCTGGAGCACTTACACATCAAATGCTGGGCTTTGCTGCCACCGTGCGGCCATGTCTGAGCACTACACGTGGCCACTATTCCTTGAAAAGTTATACTGGTTTGTTTTTGACATATAACATTCTATTAGTTTCAGGTGTACAACGTAATGATTTGATGTTTGTATACATTTAAATATTATTCACCCTAAGATCACAGGAAGTCCAATTAACAGTCACAATGTTTTTTCTTGTGATGATGAAGATCTGCTTCTCTTAGCCACTTTCAGCTATAAACTACAGTATAATGAACTACAGCAACCATGAAGCACTTATTTTGTACTCCATGACTTTCGTTTTGTCCTTAAGATTCCACATGTGAGTGAGATCACACGGTCTGTGCCTTTCTCTGCCTAACTGCTTTCACTCAGTACGATGAACGCGGGTCGTCCTGGAGTGTTTGCTACCATTAGTGTTTCCTTCTCTGCTTGTTAACCCCAGCTCGCTCCTGAGGAGATGAAGACCCACAGAGACTGAAGCACACCCATCACGCCCCCTGAGGAAATAATGATGACTCGGGGGGGGGGGGGCGGATATAAGAAGCGAGTGATTTGTGACACCATTTCCAACATGTGAGCACTTAGGCTTTCATTATCATATGCCATTACAGCTTCATAAAAATCATTCCTGCCCTAGCTGGTTTGGCTCAGTGGACAGAGCGTCGGCCTTCGGACTCAAAGGTCCCAGGTTCAATTCCGGTCAAGAACATGTACCTTGGTTGTAGGCACATATCCATTGGGGAGTGTGTAAGAGGCAGCTGGTCAACCGATGTTTCTGACTCTCTATCCCTCTCCCTTCCTCTCTGTAAAAAAAAATCAATAAAATATATATTTTTTAAAATCATTCCTAGCCGAAACCGGTTTGGCTCAGTGGTAGAGCGTTGGTCTGCGGACTGAAAGGTCCCAGGTTCGATTCCGGTCGGGGGCATATACGTTGGTTGCGGGCACATCCTCAGTAGGGGGTGTGCAAGAGGCAGCTGGTCGATGTTTCTCTCTCATTGACGTTTCTAGCTCTCTCTCTCCCTTCCTCTCTGTAAAAAATAAATTTTAAAAAAAAGATACATTTAAAAAAAAATCATTCCTAGAAATCGACCCCAAAGTGCTGACGCCTCCCAAAGGCAGCGTTCAGAAGAAGCCCTGTAAATGGAGAAATTATCCTTCCGACCCCGCGCCTACACTCAGAACGCGGCTGACCCGATGCGAATGACGCAGGGGCCTGTGCAGCCCTCCTGCCAGGACCTCAAACAACACCGTCTTTTTCTAAAGGGGGGAGCTGGACGTGAATTTCCCAGCTGTCAGACGAGAAAGCCGAGCCCGAGGGGTGCAGGTGGAACTGCTTTACGTGAAACAGCGGGTAGTGCTGGTGCTGGAAACGAAAGTCCAGCCAGCCCAGTTAGGTGGCCCAATGGTTGAGCATCAACCTCTGAACCAGGAGGTCACTGTTCCATTCCAGGTCAGGGCACAAGCCTGGGTTGCAAGCTCAGTCCCCAGTAGGGGGCATGCAAGAGGCAGCCGAATGATGATTCTCTCTCATCATTGACGTTCCTATCCTCTCTCTCTCTCTCTCTCTGTCTCTCTCTCTCTCTCCCTTCCTCTCTGAATTCAGGATATACATTTTACTTGTTTAAGACCTGGGAAGGAGCCCAGAACAGGAGGGAAGGTCTACTCACGGGAGAAGCGGGAGAAGCGGTTGAGCGGCCCGGCAGCCTTGTCTCCGGCTTCGTTTGCAACTGGAACAAAGGAAACAGAGAGGCGTTAGGAGCGGGCACGTGTGTCAACCCGACACGCCGGCCCGCGGCCGGTGCTCCGGAGGGTTTGACAGGAGCATGCCTGCGAGTCTTGGTGAGAGAATTTCATTTCGGCTCCTAATTCTCCAACGCTGTCCCACCTCCCCCTCCCATCCCGTCTACGTGAGGTCGAACATCTGCATCAATTTGACTAGAGAGAACATCCGAAGGGAGCTGGGGAAGACCCAGACGACACGGAGCTTGCGGGGCTGGGGACCAAGCTGGCCCGTGTCCACTGAGCAAGAGCCGGGCAGCCCCGGCTTCCGAGCCAGCGCACGGCGGTCCTTCTGCCCCGAGCACCGTCCCAGCAGGCTGTCCTGGCCCTCCACACACAACTGTGCCCCAGCCACTCGCCCTGAACCCCACTTCCTCTGTGAGCCTGGGCAAAGCCACGGCAGGATGTCAAGAGACGGCAAGATTGGTTAAAATATATTTTATTGATTTTTTTACAGAGGAAGAGAGAGGATAGAGAGAGAATCATCGATCAGCTGCCTCTTGCACACTCCCTACTGGGGTTGTGCCCGCAACCAAGGTACATGCCCTTGACCAGAATCGAACCCGGGTCCCTTGAGTCCGCAGACCGACGCTCTATCCACTGAGCCAGACAGGTTGGGGCTTGAATACCACTTGTGAGGCCATAAGGGGATACCTCGGTCGCTTTGAACATACACAGTCAACACAGGCCTAGCATTTGGGCCCGACCTGAGTGAACGCCCCAAGCAATCAACTGGAAAACCCCATTCACTTCAATTTCAGGGGGAAAACGTTTGTGGGAGGAAGGAGGTTGGTAATGTAATCTCTGCTGTATGAGGTCGCAGCGACCGGACGAAAGAAGCAACTCCTTCATAAACGCATGCCAGCATTTTGCAAAGAATGGGAGGAGTCAGAAAACCATTTCACCTTCTCACAAAGGTAGACCTTTTACATTTACGCCATGTGCCCGATTTATTCAAATTAAGGGATTCGATCTCGGTCTGTGTGTCTGTTACTTGCATTGCCCCAGGTCTCCCCGCCCTTCGTACCTTACAAGCCAAGAGTTGTACACAGTGACCAGTAGGGGGCGGTGACGCTGCACCCCGCTCCCATGATCTCACAGCCCAGCCGTTCCCAGCAAAAAGAGAGACAGACAGACAGATAGACAGCCGGACAGTGAGAAAGAGGGAGATGGGGAGGAACCAGCCCAAGTTAGGCACAGACATGCGTGTCCCTGGTCTGGAGTCCAAAGTCTAAAGGAGGAAAGAAAGCAACGATTTTTTTTTCCCCAAAAATATTTGCCGCAGGAATGGATGGGCTACTTGTTTAGTGGGACTGCGAAGGCCACTGCAGTCGCCAAGGATGCCGGCCACCACGACAGCGTCCACCGTGGAGGCACACGGTGGGAGGACAGACGTGCGGTGACGCCTCTGTTACTGTCACGGACGCAGCAACCACTGCTGGCGCGCCCCTCCCCACCGCCCTCTCCGAGGGTGGGACTGTCTGACCCAGATCCAAGTCACCCTGAGATCTAGGCCAGTGAGGGCCAGGAGGGCTGTCCCTGCCCAGGAGGCATGGGAACCCTGCCACCAGCATTGCTTTCCTGCACCAGGCCCAACGCCACAGGCCCGTCAAGTGATGTCCATCCCCCTACGAGACTCAACCGGCCACGTGGCCTGGTGTCGGACCGGCCCCACCTCTCCTCACCTCGCGGTGGTCCCCAGAGCATCCCTGTCCCATGTTCCCGACCAGCGCTCCCGCTGCCCCTCCCGGGGCCATCCCTCCCCGGGACGCCCTCCTTGCCTGGCCAACTCCCATCGTCCCTGAAGACCCAGGTGGGACCTCTGATTTCTCAAAGGCTCACCCAACTCCCACTGTCCCTTCTCCAGCGCACAGCCCCCGGCCCCCGGGTCTGACTGCTTCCCCACCAGGGAGGCGGTGGGAACAGACCACAGGCTTGGCTTACAGGCAGATTCTGACCGGCGGGTCGGTTGAGGCCCGAGCACGTGCACTTCTACCGAGTCTCCTACTGAGGTCCGGGCACCAGGATGTGAGAGCAGCAGCATCTCTCACCCCTCCGCCCCCAGGGCAAAGGCCGTAGCTTCTCATCTTTGTATCTCAGCCTCCTGGAGAGTTAGTGGCCCGCAGAATAATGCCTTCCGTGGATAGCTGAGACCTGAGTGCGGGAGACTGAGTCAATACCGGCGGCCACAGACGCTCGGTAGATCCAGACCTCAGGCTGGCTTCTGGGGGCCGTAAAATGCTCACGTCCGTGTGTTTTGTTTGGGCTCAGTTTTTCATTTTAAACTCTCAGCTGTCTACATTTCAAAAACCAAGAGATTTCAAAAATGAATGCAGAGGGTCGGCTTCTCTCAATACCTGGAGAACAGTCCAGCCCACAGGCAGCAGTGGGTGGCCACCGGGACGCCCCCTTATGGGTGGTTCCACCTCCTGCACGTTCAGGGGGCGGCTCTTTGCCGACTGCACTGGGCTTGCTAAGCCCTTGGCCTGGTGCGGAAGGCAAGTGAAAACAGGACTTCTAGCAGAATGAACACAAAAGAATGAAACTAAAACTCAGCAGAGACCAGCCCTACACAAAGGGGTGTGGCCGGGCGCCCTAAGCCCGTCCGACCCTGGCTGCAGGCTGCCCAGACCGGCCCCACACACTGTGTGCTAGCCAGCTTCCGGGCCCATGGAGGGCCTGCCCGCCAACAGGCTGCTGGTCTCCTACTTTAAAAACACACAAGCACGCTTCAACAGGGAGGCGGATGTCCCACTGACCAGGTGCACTGAGAGCCGGGACTGGGCAAGATCTCACAGAAATGGTCCGGCAGGGTTAAGGGAAGTATCCATGTCACACTTTGGGCAAGCACACAGACCCGGGTGTGTTACTGGTTTTGTTGATGTGGAATTTCATGTTTAGGTCACATGAGCACACCGGCACAGAGCAGTAAGTGACACACCAGGTATAGTGACAGCTGTATCTTCTGAGTGTCGGCATTTGGGGAGATTTTTAGCCACTTTTGTACTTTCCTACATAAACTCAATCATTTATGATAAGCATGTACCATGTTAGTAATCATTAAAAAATGTTTTTATTAAAGGAACAGAAAACAATTTACTATTATTTTACATAGTAGAGGCCCAGTGCACGGATTCATGTGGGGTCCCTCAGCCTGGCCTGTTCCCTCTTGAAATCCGGGACCCCTCAGGGCATGATGGATAGCCAGTTTTGGCCCAATCCCCACAGACCCGATCCAGACAGGAGGGAGCCCAATCTTGTGCATTGAGCGTCTGTCCCCTGGTGGTCAGTATACATCATAGTGACCGGTCAACTGGTCATTCAGTCACTTAGGCTTTTATATATAGACTAGTGACCCAGTGCATGAAATTTGTGCATGGAGGAGGGGTTCCCTCAGCCCAGCCTGCACCCTCTCCAATCAGGGACCCCTGTAGGATTGGGCCTAACCTGGCAATCGGTCATCCCTCTCAAAATCTGGGACTGCTGGCTCCTAACCAATCATCTGCCTGCCTGCCTGATCACCCCCAACTGCCTCTGCCTGCCTGCCTGATCACTCCCAACTGCTCTTCCCTGCTGGCCTGGTTGCCCCCATCTGCCCTCCCCTGCAAGCCAATTTGGTTCTGATTGGTCAATTTCTATGCCAGTCAGTGTCAAAAACTCTGCCTCCTAGGCAGCCATTAGCTCCTCACAGTTCACCCAGTTTTGGTTCTGATTGGTTGGTTTCTATGCCAGTCAGCGTCTCCAGGCCTATCTCTGGGCCTCATCAGAGAGGCAGAGCTGATCAGCAGCCCCCATGGAGGCCCAGAGAGAAACAGAGACATGGCTGCTGGTGAAGCCCAGAGAGAAAGAGAGAGGCAATGGCTGATCAACAGCTGCCACGGAGGCTGCAGATCAGACCCTGCCTCTCTCTTTGGGCCTTTCTGGGCCTGATCCACAGCCCCCTCAGCAGTCAGTGCTGGGTCGTTGTGCCAGTACCAGTGGCAGTCAGTGCTGGGTTCCTGTCACTGACTGCAGGACTGACTTATAGTGTTAGGTGGAGCCTTCAGTCGGTTGTTATGGACCCTGGATTTTTATATGTTCAGATAATTTTGGATACTCTATATGTTTGTCTGTTTATATAAAGGGTGTCTTGGATCTCAGAATCCAGTACTTTCATCTCTAGTCCAAGAGGACATCCTGTAAACTCAAGAAATGAACCTCCCAGCCCTTCTCCATCTGTCCACACACTATAGGTCAGTGGTTTGCAGTCCTGACTGCACTTAAGAATCACCTAGCAAACTTAAAAAATCCTGGTGGCCAGGCCACACCCCAGAACAAGAAAGCAGGTCCTGGGGGGTGGGAGGGAGGGAACCAGGCATCAGCACTTGTACATCTCCTGGGTGGTTCCAAAGAGCAGCCAAGGCTCAGAAGCACTAATAACTGGTTGACCTCCTGCATCTCCATCCAAGCAATGGCCGGGAGGAGGTGAGGCTCAGGTTTCTTCCAAAATAATTACCCTGTTCGTTCTGGTCAGGCTGCTCTTGTTTTGTCATTAAAATCCTCAACAGAGACATGACTCTCAGAAATTCAACTGTTGAGACTGCAAACATGACTGAGGGGGTCCATCAATGGGCCATCCCAGGCCCTGTGAGAGTCCTTCCTAAAAAGGTTCACCTCTCTTCCCTCCACCTCCAGTGTGTGTGCCGAGTGCCGCCTGGAGCTGGATCTGCAGGGGCAGCAACAACAGGTTTCACTCGCCTGACACCCAGGGAGTCAGGGCTTCTCAGTGGTTTACTCAGGTGTGATCAGCTCTGGGACTGACTCTAAGGTGATGATGATGGCGATGATGATGATGATGATGATGGTGGTGGTGGTGGTAGTGGTGATGATGGTGATGATGGTGGTGATGATGTGATGGTGATGATGGTAATGATGATGATGGTGGTGGTGATGATGTGATGATGATGAT